AAAAAAAAAAAAAAAAACTCCACAAATCATCAGAATGAGCTTCTCTTTTTCTATGGAAGTTTATTGTTTCCATACTTGAATATTAGGAAAAAGAAGAATGAAAAACTTAATTTTATTTATTTATTTTTTTAATCAAGGGAAAAACTTAATTTTAATAAGAAATCTTCTTGTTTTCAGACCAGAAGGGACACCCTTTGAAGATGGTAAGTCATACTTGCTAAGTTTCCCATAATATTGAGAGGGTGCTTTTTAGTAGGAAATTGTAACACCAACAGATCTACTTGAATCCATTTTTTATTATTAATAGTCTTGAGTTAAAACCAAAAGAAGCTACTAAGAACTTATAGTTTATAAGAAACTTTTTCCCCTGTCAGCTTGGTAACCTCCATTGCCAGTTACCTGTTATTTTGATATTTTTCTGTAGAACTGTAAGCCTAGATGGTGGGATATGTGTTGAGGAGACTTTATATTTAGGTGGCCTTTACAGCATGATAAAGAGATCCCTGAGGCAAACACCAGGAGGGTGTAAATCATGCTTTTTTCACTTCGTTGCCTAAGTTGATAGGATGTTGAGCTGAAATTTTTCTTAAATATACATTGCTGCCAGTAGCTTTGAGTACTACTGGCAGTTAATATCCATAAGTAGTTAGCATTTTGCATAAGTTTTTGCTTCTTAAATTGCGTATTTTACCAGGAGCCAGGAAGATGGGAAACTAGTTCTAATAACGTATGTGTAAGTGAATTTGTCAAATTGATTTTAACCAGGTATGTAAATTTTCCCTAGTCATAGTATGGATTTTAAGAAATTGTTAAACAACTTTACTACAGTTAACAAAATGACTTCAGAATTAATCCATCAAGAATATTTGTGCAAGAATATTGACTGTAGCATTATTTGTAAGGAGATAAACTGAAAGCCCATTAGGGGAAATGGTTAAGCAAATTATGATATATCTGGACTCTAGTATTGTATACATGTTAAAGAATAAGGTAGATTTGAACATAAGTCTTAGGACAAAAGGTTGTAGAATAATGTTTCTTGTAGCATCACATCTTTTTTTTTTTGGAGTTGGAGTCTCACTCTGTCACCCAGGCTGGAGTGCAGTGGCACGCTCCTGGCCTCCGCAGGCTAGACCTGTTGGGCTCAGGTGATCTTCTGCCTCAGCCTTTCAAGTAGCCGGAACTATGGGTGCACACTACTGTGCCCGGCTAATTTTTGATTTATTCTAGGGAGAAGGTCTTCCCAAGTTGCACGGGCTGGTCTCGAACCCATGGGCTCACGCAATCCACTCACTTTGGCCTCCCAAAGTGCTGGGATTACAGACTGAGCCACCGAGCCTTGCCAGTATCACATCTTTATAAAGTGTGTGTGTGTGTGTGTGTGTGTGCGCGCGCGCGCGCTAGTTATAAAGGGTTATGTACCATACTGTTATCTTTGATTATCTTTAGGTGAGAGTAAGAAATTCAAGGAGATACATAAAGTTCTCAAGTGTGGTTCATAAACATCCCTAAGGATCTCTCAGATCCTTTTAGGGAATCCATGCGATCAACACGCTTCATACTCCTGTGTTGAAATTTGCATTGATAGTGTAAAAGCAGTGGTGGCTACAATTGCTTCTAAGCAGTTTGGCATCTTAGAACAAGACAATGGTATCAGACTGTACGAGTAGTCATTGTATTGGTTGCGTTTTAAAAGATGCCAGTTTTACTTTAAAGTGCCTTGACACAGTAGAAATTATTAGTATTATGTAGCTCTGGCCCTTGAGTGTATTTTTTTTTTTTTGAGTCAGAGTCTCACTCTGTCACCCAGTATGGAGGACAGAGGCACACTTACTGCCACCGCAGCCTTGACTTGCTGGGCTCAGATGATCCTTCCACCTCAGCCTTCCAAGTAACTGGAACTACAGGCGTGCACTACCACACCTGGCTTATTTTTTTTATTTTTTTTTATTTTTTGAGTTGGAGTCTCACTGTCGCCCAGACCGGAGTGCAGTGGCTGCTCCCGGCCACCGCAGCCTCGACCTGCTGGGCTCCGGCGATCCTTCCGCCTCAGCCTTCCAAGTAGCCGGAACTACAGTCACACACTACCACGCCCAGCTAGTTTTTTGATTTATTGTAGAGATGAGGTCTTGCCTGCCCAGGCTGGTCTCAAACCCACGGGCTCAGGTAATCCACTCACCTGAACCTCCCAAAGGCGTGGGATTACAGACTGAGCCACCGAGCCCGGCTTATTTTTTGATTTATTGTAGAGACGAGGAAGGCTACTTGGAAGGCTGAGGCATAAGGATCACCTGAGAGTCCAGCAGGTTGAGGCTGCAGTGGCAGTCAGCGTGCTACTGCCCTCCAGCCTAGACGACAGAGTGAGGCTCCAAATAAAACAACAACCACAACTAAACTTATCATTTCTTCTTTGGTGTGAGTTCAGAAAAGAATCTCAACATCATATTACTTAATGTATTCAAGTTCCATAATATATTTTAATGGATTTAATTATAATTTAAAATAAAGCTTATTGATTATTTAAAAATATCTACAGTTATCTGAAAAGGCTATTAAAATATTTTTTCATGTTCATGTGTGGTTGGATTTTCTTCATGTACTTCAGTGAAATAGCGTATTGTAATAGATTGAGTACAGAAACAGATAAGAGACTCCAGCAGTCTTCTGAAAAGCAGTCATAAAGAGAGTTGTACCAGGCGTGGTGGCTCACGCCTGTAATCCCAGCACTTTGGGAGGCGAAGTCAAAAGAGAGAGTTGCAAAAATATAAAATAATGCTTATACTTCTTACTTTTTGAGGGGGAAATATTTTTCATTAAATATATTAGGTTGTATAATGGATTTGCAAGTTTTTAAAAATGAATTAATGAACTTTAAGATTTTCTGAGTTAAAAATTTCTAATACCAAAAAATCAGTAGGTAGAACCAGTAGTGTGCTAGAGGCAACCTGTATTGATTCATGAGAGAGAGCTAACTGTTAAAATTTCAGGAATTTTTACAAGTTGGTTATTAAAGAACCATTGTTTGTTTTGTAGAACCATTGTTTGTTTTGTTTTTGAGTCGGAGTCTCACTCTGTCACCCAGGCTGGAGTGCAGTGGCACGCTCACAGCTACCACAGCCTCAATCTGTAGGACTCAGGTGATTCTTCCACTTCAGCCTCCCAATTAGCTGGAACTATAGGCTGGCGTCACCACGCCCAGCTAATTTTTTGATATATGTATTTATAAAACCATTGTTTTATAAATTATATAAAAACACAGTTTTAAAAAAATTTGTAAGTGATTAATATGTGCCTGTCATCACTTTCTGTTTGTTTGGCCATATTGGTCTATTTATGGGTGCTCTTAAAGGTTATTCCTGTCTTTGTATTTCAATGGTAGAAATACTGTAAGATGGTATGCTATTGCAAGTATCTCTTCCCAGCTTCATGTTCCATGAATTCACACTGGAAGTTTGGATATGGTGGGACTAAGAGTATAAAGGAGTCCAAGACCAAAAGCTTAAGGATAGCTGCTTCATATTTGTTTTTGCTTGAAATTTTACATTCTACAAGCTGCTACTTTTGTAATTAAAGAAAATTAAAACATAAACTTTGAAAATATATCATTAGGCATAGAGCTAACTTTATAATAAGCTGTATGCTTCAGAGTACCTCTATTGATACATGTCAAAATATGAAATAGAAATTACCTTTGGTTTGTTTGTATCATTGGCCTACCAATCCCAAATTTCCAAACAACAAAATGAAGGAGGTAAAATTTATATACCAAACATATGACCAGTGAAGATATAATATATATAGCCAGGAGCTTAGAATTTAGGCTGAGAAAGAGTGGTTTGTTTTTAAATGCATTGATGACATAAGGAAAGAACCTTGTAAAGACATCTGGAATGGTTTAAAGTTTTATTGACTTCATTAGAAATAAGTCTCAACTTACTGAGTATGTCCAAGGAGTTGTAGTTGGAAGGCTTCTTCAACCTTCAGGTGGCTTTCCTCTAAATAAAAGGGCTCTTGATAGTCAAATAAGCCAAACGAATCTATAAAGACAGTCATGAAACTATTAATGGTTAAATACTGGATTAGAATGACTGAAATGTACCATGTTGGTGTATAACCAAAAATAGTTATTTTTAAAAGTAGGCAGTTACACTAAGCTTAATGATTCTTGACATATTTGAATGAAGGGATTGGTGTGGGGACAGAACTGATTTTCACCAAAGCATCCATGCCTCCAATCTGGATCCTTTACTGTTTGATAGTCAGCCCCTCACAGAATTACGGCATCCCCCTTCTAAGCTGTAATGTTCCTCAAGTGTGCATTTTAAATCTTGGTAGCTAGGGCCTAGTTGCCTTCTAAAAATATGACAGTTAACACTTCCACCAAAAGCATAAGAATGTGCCTGTCCCCCAGCTGCTGCGAATGCTTTGTGTTATCAATTTAACATAAATAGAGGTATATTTAGTATGTTTTGTGTGCTAAACCAAAGTTGACATACTAACTTTTGTGTGGTTGTGTAAAAACCAGTAATGGGCCGAGCTCAGTGGCTCAGCCTGTAATCCCAGCACTTTGGGAGGCCGAGGTGAGTGGATTGCCTGAGCCCTCGGATTCGAGACCCACCCAGGCAACTTGGCGAGACCTCGTCTCTACAATAAATCAAAAATTAGCCGAGTGTAGTAGCACACACCTATAGTTCTGGCTACTTGGAAGGCTAAGGCGGAAGGATCGCTGGAACCCAGCAGGGCAAGGCTGCGGTGGCTCGGAGCGTGCCACTGCAGTCTGGGCGACAGAGTGAAAATCTAATTAAAAAAAAAACAAAAAACAACAGTAATGGTTATGGGGTTGAGAACTGATTGAAGAGATTAAAAAGTTGTGTTTGTCTTTACTACAATTGTTTTGGTTTGTTTTCTATCTAGGTACTTTTAAACTAGTAATAGAATTTTCTGAAGAATATCCAAATAAACCACCAACTGTTAGATTTTTATCCAAAATGTTTCATCCAAATGGTAAGTAGCAATTTATTAGACCTTGCAAATGATAAAGGGGGAAAGAGTTTTAGGTCTTGCCACTTACTTTTCACCAACTTACAGGTGTTGCTTTCATGTCAATGTTAGCCATATTTTTGTAGCTGGAATCTTACCAAGGTTCCAAATTTGAGCAATAGTTGTTTTTTTTTCTTTTCTTTTCTTTGAGTAGGAGTCTTACTGTCACCCAGGCTGGAATGCAGTGGCACACTCATGGCCACTGCAGCCAGCTCAGGCAGTCCTTCCACCTCAGTCTTCGAAGTAGTTGGAACCACAGGCATGCACCACCATGCCCAGCTTGTTTTGTTTCAATAACTTCTGAATTAAAAATAATGTGTAAGCTGAGCACAGCAGCACATGCCCATACTCTGACTTACACAGGACCTTGGCATAGTAGGATAACTTGAGCTCAGGAGTTTGAGGCCAACCTGGACAGCATAGCAAGACCCTGTTCTCTCTATTTATATTTTTATAATAAATTTTTATATATAAAATAAATACTGTAATATGTATTCATTTGTAGAAACGTGAAAGATACCAAAAAGAATTTGTTTGCTAAAATTTAGCTTTTAAGAAATAACACCTTTGGCCGGGCTCGGTGGCTCAGCCTGTAATCCCAGCGCTTTGCGAGACCAAGGAGAGTGGATTGCCTGAGCCCAAGCATTCAAGACCAGCCCGGGCAACTTGACAAGACCTCGTCTCTACAATAAATAAAAAATTAGCCAGGCATGGTAGCGTGTGCCTGTAGTTCCGACTGCTTGGAAGGCCGAAGTGAGAGAATCTCCTGAGTCCACCATGTCAACACTGGGGTGGCCATGAGTGAGGCACCGCATTCCAGCCTGGGTGACAGAGTAATAAATTTGGTCTTCCTTGATTTCTTGCTGTTTACATCTATTATATTTATATTCCTGGATTATAAATTACCATAGGATATACTTATCCAAAATCTTAAAGCTGCTTTTCATTCTCTTTTTTTAGATTAGAAAATGTGGTTTATTTAGAAAGTAATTTAGAGAGAGAGAGTAGATTCACTTCCCCAAGGTAGGGAAGGGGGCCAAAGCTCTAGGAGTCATGGTGGTCATAGTTCAAAGAGCCAGGTGGGCACACCAGAGTTTAACAAAGCAATGACCTCATCTCCTTTTCATTCTTATAGCCTGTGGCCATTTAAATGTGAGGTATTCTCCACCAGCTAACTTTCAGGAAGAACATTTTCAGAGATCCTCTTAATTGTGACTCTAGTACTGCAAACTACATAATAGAGCTTCTTGCTCAGAAGAGAGATGTGTTTGTGTATTTGGCCAAGACAGGTTTGATTTTATTTTGTTTATGTTTTGGGGAGATTCTCAAGTCACTTACACCTTATTCCACTGTAGATTTATCTGGCTTAGACTTGACATTGAATCAAACCAAACACATTTTAGTAAGGGAATCTTTCCAACCAAGGGAGGAAAGACTATTTAGAATGAGTAGGAGGTATATGTGAATAGATGTAGGATTATCACCTTCAGCAAATTTATAAGAAAATAAAAGCTGGGCATGGTGGCTCACACCTGTAATCTCAGCACATTGGGAGGCTGAGGCGAGAGGATTGCCTTAGTCCAGGGGTTCGAGACCAGCCTGGGCAACTTGGTGAGACTTCGTCTCTACAATGAATCAAAAAATTAGTTGGGCATGGTGATGTGTACCTGTGCCTCTCTACTTGGAAGGCTGAGGTAGAAGGGTCACCTGAGCCCAGCAGGTCAAGGCTGTGGTGGCTGTGATCGTGCCACTGCACTCTAGCCTGGGTGACAGTGAGATTCTGACAAAAAAATGGATGGATGGATGGATGAAAGCAATCAACCTTGAGCAGCCAACCGCCTTTGTTTTGCTAAACTCTGGTGTGTCCACATGGCTCTCTGAGCTACTGCTGCCCTGTTTCTTAGGTTTGGCCCCTTCCCCTACTTTAGGGAGGTTAATCTCTCTATATACTCTCCTCTCTTTCTAATTTACTTTCTAAATAAACTATATTTTTAAAAAAAAAAAGAAAATAATGTATTTAGTTTTCTCATCTCTTCATATTTATAGCATGGTTTCCCTTTTTTCTGCTAGGAGTACTTTATTTAACGTTTTTTTTGTTTTTTGAGTTGGAGTCTTACTCTTTCACCCATGCCGGAGGGCAGTGGCACGCTCCCAGCCACCGTAGTCTCAACCTGCTGGGTTCCTGTGATCTGTTTGCCTCAGCCTTCCTAGTAGCTGAAGTGCCACCAAACCTGGATAATTTTTTGATTTATTGTAGAGATAAGGTCTCGCCAGGTTGCCCAGGCTGGTCTCAAACTCGTGGACTCACACAGTCCTCTGACCTTGGCCTCCCACAGTGCTGGGATTATAGGCATAGGTGTGAACCACCACTCCCGGTGTTATTATTTAACCTTCTGATACACATTTTTAAAAAACATTCATTGAAATAAAAATTTACAGAATCATAATATTCACTCATTTAAATTGTACAGTTTAGCCAGGCTCAGTGGCTCAGCCTGTAATTCCTCGCTTTGGGAGGCTGAGGTGAGTGGACTGCCTGAGCCCACGGGTTCGAGACCCGCCTGGGCAACTTGGCAAGACCTCATCTCTACAATAAATCAAAAAATTAGCCGGGCATGGTAGCGTGCGCCTGTGGTTCCAGCTACTTGGAAGGCTGAGGCGGAAAGATCGCCGGAGCCCAGCAGGTCGAGGCTGCAGTGGCCAGGAGCGGCTACTGCACTCCAGTCTGGGCGACAGAGTGAGACTCCAACTCAAAAAAAAAAAAAAAAAATTGTACAGTTTGATAGTTTTTAGTACAGTCACAGAGTTTGCACCGTCATCACCACTATAATTGTAGAACAACAAAAAATCCCATAGCTATTCTATCATCAGTCATTTCCCGATTTTCCCAACGCCCCGCCATCCAAGATAACCACTAATTTACTTTCTCACTAGATTTAACTATTCTAAATATTTCACGTAAGTAGACTCTTACAGTAATATGGTCCTTTGTGATTGACTTCTTTCACTTAGCATAAAGTTTTCAGTGTTCATCTATATTATAAAATGTATCTGGCCAGGCACTGTAGCTCACACTGTAGCACTTTAGGAGGCTGAGGCAAGAGGATTGCTTAAGCCCAAGAGTTCACGACCAGCCTGGGCAACATAGCAGAGACCTTGTCTCTTAAAAAGATAAAAAAACAGCTAGATGCAGTGTCTCTTGCCTGTAATCCCAGCACTTTAGGGGGCATAGGTGAGAGGATTGCCTGAGCTCCGGGGTTCGAGATCAGACTGGGCAACTTGATGAGACCTTGTCTCTACAATATATATATTTTTTAAATTAGCCAGTTGTGGGGGTGCACACTGTAGTTCCAGCTACTTGGAAGGCTAAGGTGGAAGGATCACCTGAGCCCAGCAGGCTGAGGCTGCAGTAGCAGTGAGTGTACCACTGCACTTCAGCCTAGGTAACAGAGTAAGACTCCTACTAAAAAAAGAAATAAAAAGAAATAAAAAATGAATGCATCTGTACTTCATTTTTAAGTTGCAGAATAATGTTCCATTGTGTGTATATACTACATTTTATCTATCCAATCATTAGCTAATAGATGTTTAGGTTCTAGTTATTTTGTTCAAAACTTTAAAAATTATTTTGTACTTTTATGGGTTTTATAGATGTGCTGATTTTTGCTTTGGGTGGCTAAGTTTGAAATGTTTCTGTGGGATAGATAGTAAGCAGTTGACTATGCTACTTTGAAGCTGAGTGACAGATCTGGGCTGAGGCCAACAATTGGGAGTACTGAGCACATGGACAGTAACTAAGGCCACAGGAGTGAACAGCGTTGCCCAGAAGGAGGTATAAAGTATTAGAAGGTAGAGGGTGTAGGCTAGAGCCATGAGGAATGACAGTATTTAAGTGTGATTTGCTCCCCTCTCTCCAAGAAAGCCTCAGTTATCCCTGTTTTTATGTAGTGTTCTAGCTTGCTCCATGAAGCTTTCCACAGTTGGCAGTATCTATAACTTTTAAGTGCATTTGCCCCTTGTCAGCGTAGCAATTCTACTTCTGGAAGTTTTTCCTACAGTTATATAGTCTCCTGTGTAAAAATTTACAATCATTTCTTGTATTTTGATGTAATCATTCTGAGACTTTTAATACATGCTAATCCCTTGATTTTTTTTATTATAAAAGGACTGTATACGCATTGCAAAAATAAATCATAAATGCAAGGAATGGTAAAGAAAATAAGATTCATAATTTTATTGCAGATAGCCACTACTTATATTTTGACAGTCTTGCAAATGTTTTTGTGACTACATATACTACAAATGAAAATATTTACTTATGGTTTTTTACATAAGAAGAGTAGATATGTATCATTTCTGGTGATTACATTTGAATGGTTATATGAATGTACAATCTTTTTTTGAGTTGACAGTATTTAAGTGTCTCATTTTGTTGCCCAAGCCAGAGGCCAGTCATATGAACACAGCTCATAGCAGACTTCTCCTGAGCTCAGACAATTCTTCCGCCTCAGCCTCCTGGGTAGCTGAGGCTACGAAGCATGCCCACCATGCCCAGCTAATTTTTTTAGTTTTTGTAGAGACGCGGTTTCGTTATGTTGTCTTGAACTCCCGGGTTCAAGTAGTGCTCCCACCTTGGCCTGCCAAAGTGTTGGGATTACAGGTGTGAGCCACTGCACCTGGCCCAACCAATCCCCTCTTTATGGACCACAAGGAGTTTCCAGTTTTTCACTCTTATAAATAGTATTATAGTGACTGTCCTGTAAATGTATCTTTGTGAGCCGGGCTCGGTGGCTCAGCCTGTAATCCCGCGCCTTTGGGAGGCTGAGGTGAGTGGATTGCCTGAGCCCGCGGGTTCAAGACCCGCCTGGCCAACTTGGCGAGACCTCATCTCTACAATAAATCAAAAAATCAGCCAGGTGTGGTAGTGCATGCCTGTAATTCCGGCTTCTCAGAAGGCTGAGGCGGAAGGATTGCCAGAGCCTAGCAGGTCAAAGCTGTGGCGGCCGGGAGCGGCCACTGCACTCCTGTCTGGGCGACAGAGTGAGACTCCAACTCAAAAAAAAAAAATGTATCTTTGTGTACCATTATTATTTCCTTATAATTCCTAGGAGTGGAATTGTTATGTCAATAAACAAGCAGTTTTTCAAGTGCTTTATTTAAGAATATTTAGAAGCCAGGCTCGGTGGCTCAGCCTGTAATCCCAGCGCTTTGGGAGACTGAGGTGAGTGGATTGCCTGAGCCCGTGGGTTTGAGACCTGCCCAGGCAACTTGGCAAGACCTCATCTCTACAATAAATCAAAAATGAGCCGGGCGTGGTAGCGCGCGCCTGTAGTTCCAGCTACTTGGAAGGCTGAGGCGGAAGGATCGCCGGAGCCCAGCAGGTCGAGGCTCCGGTGGCTTCAGACTTCAGTCTGGGCGACGGAGTGAGACTCCAACTCAAAAAAAATAAAAATAAAAAAAATAAAAGAATATTTAGAAATACAGAATTTAAACAGATTGCTCTATGATATATGTTGAAAAAATGTAACTCAGCCTCCTGATGATAAGGTGCTATCTTAGTCCATTTTATGCTATAACAGAATAACAGAGACTAGGTAATAATTTATAAACAACAGGTTATTGGGCCCATAGTTCTGGAGACTGGGAAGTGCAAAAGCATGGCACTGGTATCTGGTGAGGGCCTTCGTGCTGTGGCATCACATGGTGGAAGGCAGAAGGACAGTGAGCATACAAGACAGGAAACTAAGCAAAACTCAGTCTTCTATTAGGAGCCCACTCCTGCCATAATTTGTCCATTCATGCGGGCAGAACCCCATGACCTAATCACCTCTTAAAGGTTCCACCCCTCAACACTTAACAGTGGCTATTAAGTTTCAAAAATGAGTTTTGGAGGTGCGATCCATAGCAGGTATAAAATAAAGATTTTAATTTTGAGACAGGTTTTCCTGTGAGACAGAGGGTGTAGTTATTACCAAATACTTAAAATTTCTGACTAAAGCAAGCATTCTATTTGTGGTAAAGATTTCTCTTAACTGTTAGAGATGACAAAATTCATATGTAACCAATTAGTGTTGTCCTTACAGTGTATGCTGATGGTAGCATATGTTTAGATATCCTTCAGAATCGATGGAGTCCAACATATGATGTATCCTCTATCTTAACATCAATTCAGGTAAGTGTGTGTTAGGGTGTGTCACAATTTTTCAGTGTTCATTGGGATATAGTCAATTCCTTTTAAGAGCAATCTAAAGACCATACAAACAAACTAACCTCCCTAGTACCCAGGTAACCAATGGCAGAACTCAGACAAGAACCCCATGATTTTCAGCTATCTACTCTGCTATTTCATTAGTGACTACATGTGATGCAGTCCACAAATCCCTTTACTGATCATGTGTAAATTACATGTTCTCACAGGTCAAACTTAATTTGTGCCCATGAAGCATAGCCAGAGGTGTGGGAAATAAAATCTTTTTGGGGAGAAATAAAAATGATTGCTAGGAAAAACTATAGGGACCTCAAACTGCCAGGGGCTGAGAAGCATTGAGTATGTTACCCCATCCAAGAAATTACATTTTAAAATAGAGAGAAGGCAGGCACTGTGGATGCCTGTAATCCTAGCACTTGGGGAGGCAGAGATGAGAGGATTACCTGAACTCAGGGGTTCAAGAACAGCATGGGCAACATGGCGAAACCTCATCTCTACAATAAGTGAAAAAATTAGCCGGGCGTAGCGGCACGTGCCTGTGATTCCAGCTGCTTGGAAGACTGAGGTAGGATTGCTTGAGCCCAGCAGGTTAAGGCTGTGGTGGCCATGAGCATGCCACTGCACTCTAGCCTGGGTGACAGTGAAACTCTGACTCAAAGAAAAAAGAGAGCGATAGAAAGTATTTTAACTATTTGCCAAAGTCTGGCAGTATATCTTAGAATAAACTTTGATTGAATTTTGGAGGGTGGAGTGAGTGATGTTTTAGTTATATGGATCTTAAAGGAGTAGAAATAACATTTTGGTTTGTGACTGTCTTTTTAATTTTCTATCAAATTTATTTAATTTTAGACATCTTATAAGCATAGTTTTCAGGCTGGGTATGGTGATTCATACCTATAATCCCAATACTTTGGGAGGCGAAGTGAGAGGATTGCCTGAGTTCAGGGGTTTGAGACCAGCTTGGGCAACTTGGCAAGACCTCGTCTCTACAGTAAATCAAAAAATTAGCCGGGCATGGTAGCGCATACCTGTGGTTCCAGCTACTTGGAAGGCTGATGTGGAAGGATTGCCTGAGCCCAGCAGGTCGAGGCTGCGGAGGCCATCAAGCATGCCACTGCACTCCAGCCTGGGCGACAGAGATTCCAACTTAAAAAAAAAAAACACATTGTTTTCATTGCTTACTATTTCATTCCCTCCTGGCTCAATGGCTAAATGTATAGAGTTTAGCTTTGCAAAATATTGGTATAAGGTAAGCTGTTTATCTTCTTGGTTAATGAGAGTCTCAGTATGCTGATATCCTTTTCCAATTTCTTTGAAATTAGCGGTCTTATGGCAATTGAGAACTATTTGTTTTGGAAGCTTAAGTTCTTTAGCAGCAGGAAGCCTCTTACTATAGAATTTATTAAGCCATTTTCTTAAAGGTATTTAGACCTAAAAATATGTGAGACATACTAATCTCTAAAATAATTTCTGTTGTTTTGTGTAAATTTTCTGTATTCCATATCTGACCCGTTCGTGTAAAGAATAACTCTGCAAATTTGTTTTTTCTTCTCTCTTTCCTTCCAGTCTCTGCTGGATGAACCGAATCCAAACAGTCCAGCCAATAGCCAGGCAGCACAGCTTTATCAGGAAAACAAACGAGAATATGAGAAAAGAGTTTCTGCCATTGTTGAACAAAGCTGGAATGACTCATAATAGACAACTGGTCTGTTAATCTTTTTCATCATTGTTGTGTATAATTTACCTCTCAGTAGAAAGGCTAACAAGTTTTAAGTGCCACCGGTTTTAAGGATTCTGCAGAAAAAAAAGAAAAAAGTCCTTCAGTTTAGAACCTACAAAAGCTTGTGTATCTTGATTAATGTACTTTTTATTGCATGGTGTGAACTAAGTTATTGCTGCATAAATTTGTAATATATCCTGTTTGTATTTTTTTCCAAGTGTATAATGTTGGTGTGGAGTTTTCATGACAGAATATACACATTTTGTAAATCTGTACTTTTTTCAAATATTGAATGCCTTATTTTTGAATTCTTTAGATTTTTAAATTGGAGAAAAGCACTTAAAGTTTTTTATATATGAATATTACATGTAAAGCTGTTAAAATACATAACTTCAGTGCAAGAGACTTTGTCACTTATTTCCTTATCTGTGTAGGAGGGGTTAATAAGTCTCTAGCTCTCCATCAATTGATAGTTTTATTTCCAATTCCAAAAGAACATATTTATATTTTATCGAGAAAGTCTTCAGATTTGATTTTAGATACCAATTACGTCTCCAACTTTATTTTCAACGTACCTATATTAATTTCAGTTGTGTAATTCTAGACATAACTAGTTTGATTCTACCCAACTCTGTATTTAGGCTACTTGTTATAGTTTCTTCATGCATTACTTACTGTTAAACTGTACCTTTTGCTATTTCACAGTTGTCACCTCTGCCACGAGCAGAGAACTGATGAAACCTATTTTGCTGCTTGGTAGCACCTTAAAAGGTTTTTAATTAATGAAGAAAGTGAAACCATAAACATTTGCCAAAAATTCATACCCCGTTATTAGCAATGAATTGGTTGCATTGGTTGGAGTAAGGCACATATTTGGAAGGAATCTTGGTGTAATTTAAATATTTGAAAACTACCTTTTAATGCAGTTGCATATCTGTTTATTCTGGGGAAATGTTTTTAACACCAGGGCCTGCTGAGTTGCTTTTTCTTGTGGAGATTTTTTTAATCTCCGAAGTTGTATAAAAGTTGTACTGCATCTTAGTTTACTGGATAAGTTTAAAACACAGTATTGTAGAAAGCTAATACAAAGCTATCCTATGCCTTCAAATAGTATAGAAAATGGAAAATATACAAGTAAATTCTGTTGAACCACCTGTGTAGTCTCTCTAGTAGTTAAAACAGCTATTTCAGTAACCCCAGGAGTTTCCTGTCATATCCATACTAGCCTAGGAATAAGTTTCTTTTCTATTGGAAGACTGGGTCACAGGGTGGAAATATCTATGCTTCTATTCATTAAGCAAAGTTTAACACTGAATGGATAAGTGCTGATGTTTCCCTTTAAAAGTTATTACATGGCAGATTCTCGGGTAAGTATGATCTTATACAAATGAAGGTTTACTCACTGAAACCATGACCCACGAAAAGATGCTTTATTTAAAAGTACTTTATGAAGCAGGGTGTGGTGGCTCACACTTGTAATCCCAGCACTTTGGGAGGTGGAAGTGAGAGGATTGCCCGAGCCTTTTGGGTTCAAGACCAGCCTGGGCAACATGGCAAGACCTCGTCTCTACAATAAATAAATAAAAAATTAGCTAGGTGTGGTGGTGCACACCTCTAGTTCCAGCTACTTGGAAGGCTGAGGCGGAAGGATTGCCTGAACCCAGCAGGTTGAGGCTGCGGTGCCTGTGAGCATGCTATTGCACTCCAGTTTGGAATACAGAGTGAGACTCCAACTCAAAAAAAAAAGCGTACATATATAAAAATACTTCTGGTTATATTAGGTGTGTGGTTCTTTTAAGTTTAGCTCCAAAACAAATTATAGACACTTCCATAACTCCTAGATTAAATACACGGTGGTTATGACGATCTCCCCTTTATTTCATTAAATGCTGTTTGGTTACTACTTCAGTATACATTTTTATTCCTAAATTGCTTTTTCCTTTCTCAGTTTAAAACTGGAACATTTCAAATATTAATAGATAATTACAAGTGAGTTACATCGCAGGGCTCGGTGGCTCAGCCTGTAAATCCCGCGCCTTTGGGAGGCTGAGGTGAGTGGATTGCCTGAGCCCACGGGTTTGAGACCTGCCTGGGCAACTTGGCGAGACCTCATCTCTACAATAAATCAAAAAAATTAGCCGGGCGTGGTAGTGCACACCTGTAGTTCCAGCTACTTGGAAGGCTGAGGCGGAAGGATCGCTGGAGCCCAGCAGGTCGAGGTTGCAGTGGCCGGAAGCGGCCACTGCACTCCAGTCTGGGCGACAGAGTGAGATTCCAACTCAAAAAAAAAAAAAAAGTGAGTTACATCTTACTTTGCAGGGAGATCAGCAAGTTACAACTCCAGAATTTCCCAACTGCATAAAACTCATAGCTGGTCCATAATCCTTTTGGAGAAAATGCTTAAGAAGGTTCCATCTTTAAGTAACTCATCATGATTTTTATTCTTCAGTCTTATTTCTTTGGTTGAATACCAGATATAACCCTTCAATTTATAAGGCTGTGTCAGGCCAAGCTCAGTGGGTCTGCCTGTAATCCCAGCACTTTGAGAAGCCAAGGCAAGTGGATTGCCTGAGTCTGCGAGTTTGAGACCAACCCGGGTAACTTGGCAAGACCTCATCTCTACAATAAAAAAAATTAGCCAGACATGGTAGCGTGCGCCTGTGGTTTGGGCTTGGAAGGCTGAGGCAGAAGGATCATGGCAGCCCAGCAGGTCAACGCTGGGGTGGCCGTGAGCGTGCCACTGTACTCCAGTCTGGGTAACTGAGACTCCAACTCAAAAAAAGCTGTCTACTTGAAACTCTAAGTCAGTTTTATTTATTTTTTTCATCTTATAAAAGTTTATTTACAAACATATCTAGTATGCCTTTCAAAAGTTTGATCTATTTTTCAGAGAGACTGCACATCTTTAAATGCTCTTTCATATCTGTTAAATGGATGAACTAAAAAAAATTTCTCATGCAGCTGGTGTCTTAACTATAAGAAAGGTGCAGCAAATCCAGATCCAAAGTACAAAGTCATCATAACTAGCTTGTTTTCCACTGAAAATGGCAAATTCTTCACCCAGCTCTGGTGACCTTCAGCTCTGGTTTAAGTTTTAAGCTGTAAACCCTACAACCATGGTCTCCAGGACCGCCCAGAGCTTTCTTGGGGTGGGGGGTGTTAGGTAGCTGAGCGAGGGAGGTCAGTCAGGCTCCCAACCCTGGTGGTGGTGTGTTAAACTGGCCTGCATCTGAACCCAGCTCCTGCTTGACTGCCCCGTGTCCAGGCAGCCTTGGGGTGAGTGAGTCTGTCAATTTTATAAATGTATGGTATAGCAAGAAGCTAGAGCTAAGGCATTTATGTTGCTACAAAGATAATATTGATGGATTTATGTTTAACTGCATTTATACATGCGTTCCCTATAACAACAACTCCAGCATAGGACAATCAAGCAAGGCACTATTCTAAGTACTTTTAACATATCTTATTTCATTTCAAATTCATTCACCTATGAGGGTAGGTACTATTACATTACAAATGAGGAATCTAGGTACAGAAGCGATGAAGTGACCTGCTCAAGTTCAAGCAGCCAATAAGTGATAGGCTAGAATTTGAACACAATCTGATCTTTTTTTTTTTTTTAGTTGGAGTCTCACTCTGTTGCCCAAACTGGAGTGCAGTGGCCGCTCCTGGCCACCGCAGCCTCGACCTGCTGGGCTCCAGCGATTCCTCCGCTCAGCCTTCCAAGTAGCTGGAACTACAGGTGCGCGCTACCACACCTGGCTGATTTTTTGATTAATTGTAGAGATGAGGTCTCGCCTCCCAGGCGGGTCTCGAACCCGCGGGCTCAGGCAATCTACTCACCTCAGCCTCCCAAAGGCGCGAAATTACAGGCTGAGCCACCGAGCCTGGCTGGCAATCCGATCTTTAAACCAGTAACTGGGCCAGGTCTGTTGGCTCAGGCTTTGGGAGGCCGAGGCGAGAGACCAGCCTAGACAACTTGGTGAGACTACCTCGTCGCTACAATAAATCACAAAAAAAACTAACCAGGCGTGGTGGTGTACATCTGTATTTCCAGCTACTTGAAGTGCTGAGGCGGAAGGATCACCTAAGCCCAGCAGGTTGAGGCTGCAGTGGCCATGAGTGTGCCACTGCACTCCAGCCTGGGTGACAAGACTGAGACTCCAGTTGTAAATAAATAAACCAGTAACGGTGCTATACTTTATGAGATGTGAAGGGATTGTGATTAGTTTTGGAAATTCTACTAAAATATTCATCCCAATTTGTAGAAATACTTCATTTGACTTAAGAGTTATATCCAGACTTGTATCTACTGCAATGAAAAGGTTTCTTTCGCTATCTTTTTTTTTTAATTTTAAAGTTTATTTGAACAAACAACAATTCACAAATTGGGCAGCTCTAAACCAGAAGCAGTTCAGGAGCTCCACCCACAGAGAGAAAGGGGGAGGCTTTTATAGAATGGACACAGAAGTTAAGCAAAGAAAGTATCTGATTGGTCACAGTTATACACTTGCCTTATTTGGTCTATCCCCATTGGAAAGTCCCTAGTTTTATTTATTTATTTTTATTTTAAATATGTGGGGTACAATTCAGGGTTATATATACAAATGTTCATTATGCAGGTACCCTTGTTGATAAAATGTGTCCCCCTCCCCAGGCAGTTTCATCATTTTCCACTTCTTTTAAAAATGTAAACAAGGCCATGCTCGGTGCGTGGATCACTTGAGCCTGCAGGTTCGAGATCCACCTGGACAACTTGGTGAGACCTTTTCTCTACAATAAATCAAAAATTAGCTGGGTGTGGTAGTGCACGCCTGTAATTCTGGCTGCTTGGAAGGCTGAGGCGGAAGGATTGCTGGAGCCCAGCAGGTCGAGGCTGTAGTGGCAGGGAGGGTGCCACTGTACTCCAGTCTGGGTGACAGTAAGACTCTAACTCAAAAAAAAAATAAGTCAAGTCTAGATATAGGAACACTTTTCCAATACCTGACAAAAGATGATGACTTATCAGTAAACCACAGTTTTCCCCTTCCTAGAAATGTCCTTGAGTCTATAGGACACCCCACACTGCCTCCCACCCATGTTTCATTAATGTGAATAACTTCTAGGACTGATTTAAAATCTTATTCAGGAAAGAAAGCTAGTAGAGGTGATGTTTTTTTGATTGGTTGGAGGTTTTTGAGTCAGAGCTTTACTCTGTCGCCCAGGCTGTAATGCAGTGGCACCCTCATGGTCACCTCAGCTTCGACCTGCTGGGCTCAGGCGATTCTTCTGCCTCAGCCTTCCAAGTAGCCGGAACCATGGGCACGTACCACCACACCCAGCTAGTTTTTTGATTTATTGTAGAGATGAGGTCTGGCCAAGTTACCCTGGCTGGTCCCAAACCCCTAGGCTCAGGCAATCCTAGCCTCTGTCTTTCAAAGTGCTGGGATTACAGGAGGTGTTGTATTTATTTACTAACAGTCTGTTTTGTGCTCAGAACCAAGTACCTGCCTACTAAGTTTATTCATTTAGTACTCTTTAAATAACCCTAGGGCTCATAGCACACTTTAGAGTTATGTCTAAGGTGTTTCATATCTCAATCCTCCCAAGTTTGGGGGGCTGTTAGGGTTAGATTTTGGGGTCTTGATGGTGTTTGAGACAGTTCCTTCTATTGCATTCAGCAATGCAAAGTCCCAGTGTGAATCTGTTATTTGGGGTTTATGCATGTAAATACAAAAGTCAATAGTTGGAAGGCAATTAAAGGTAAATTGTCCATAGTACAGGGGCCTTGTGCCAAGACAATAACTCTTACTTCAGGCTCTTTCTAGTCATGGGGGAAATAAGCTGTTTCAGCTAGGAAGAAAGATTACTTATCTTTAGTTATTCTACGATATGAAAGAGAGCAAAGTTATTACAAAATAAATTTTATTGTTGAAAGGATTGGCTTTTTCTCATTTGAAGAAAGAAGAGATAATTAAGTGGGTGTCCCATTCTTTCTTCAGTAAGTTCTCCCCACCATCACTACAGTTTTTTGGGGGTTTTTTTTTGGTTTTTTTTTTGAGTTGGCATCTCACTCTGTCGCCCAGACTGGAGTGCAGTGGCCACTCCCGGC